CCCCCCCCCCCCCCCCGCTTTTTTTTTTTCAATTTCCTGTAATTTTCGGATTTTATGCGATTGTATGTTTTTTCTTATAAAGCACGGATAATACGATTACGAATACGACGGATAAAACTTATAAAAACTTTTTTCTTACTCATCACAAAATTAAAAATGTTAACCGTAAATTCAGATATTTTGATTCAAATCTTGAAAATCCTTTAACGCCAAGTCGCAAGGGATTAATATCTGAGTCTCGAAGCAAATGACTTGTCATTGACCAAACTAGAGAAAAAATTAGTTAAGATGCGTGTAAATTAATTTGGACACTCTTAATCATTTAACAAAAAAATAATAATTAAAAATGTTAACCACCATTTTTTTCAAAACTCGTAAATTGTTAAATTTTGTGTAATCTATATAATAAAATAACTTACAATTTAAATTTTAAAAGATAAACAAAATGACTTTTGTTATTCACGTTTGAGATTGCTTTAAATTTTACTTTAAAATTAATCTAAGAGCTAATATTAACATCCTAAATTTAATAGAAAAAAATAGGCCCCTAAGGATGTGTTTGGAGTGACTTTTTGAAAGTACTTTTAAAAATTATTTTTTATAAATATTTTAAAAAAAGTAGTGTTTAAAACCGCTCCACCACTACATCTACCACCACCACCCTTACCACTGCCACCACTACCATCGCCATTGTCGTTGCCTCCACCATCATCGGCACCGCCGCCATCACGGTCATTGTCACCCACTATAACCATCACCGTCTACTACTACTACCACTGTCGCCCACCACCTCTTACCCCCATTACAAATCGATATTTAAATTCTTGTATCTCTTCTCTATGTTTGTGATTTGATTTTAGATATTAATACAAATATATTTTTTATTTTTTATTTTTTATTACTTTGTGCCTTCAGGTACAGGCAATAACTAATATATTTATACATCTTAACATGCATCCTCCTGTGTCAACCATTTTTTTTTTTTTTTGCTTTAAGCATGTTAGAATGGATTTAATCACCGGACAAGTGATTTCGCAATTCGGATCTATTCTCAAAACAGCATATGACTAAAGTAGCTGTAATATTAAATAGGTGGCATTGGCCAATGCCATCAATTTGCAATGGTGTTCCATGGCCAACATCATCAATATGGTTTGTTGCAATCGTTTTCATGGCCAACATCATCATTATGGTTTGTAGTTCAGTAATTATAGTTCAATGATAATATAAACGAATTATAAATTCAAACGTGTAATATTTAAATTTTAATAATTTTTTTAAATTAAATCATAAGAAATTCATCCCTCATTAATATCTTAATCTCGACATTAATGGTTTACCTTTAACCGAACTTAAAAAAAAATTAATCGAGATGGTCATAAATCGATTACCATCTTTAACCGTTGAAAAAAAAAAAACTAAAGTTCCCATCTATTACCCCAAATCAACTTTTGTACATTAAGATTTGGGGGCAATCTAGCATCTTATGTCCACATCGTTCAAAAGTTTCCAGCTACTTCTTGTTCTTCTTCTAGTGGGTTCAAGGATAAACTTTTGGTGTGGTTAAATGTGTGAGTTGCCGAGTAATTTGGAAAACAAACCTAAACTCATCAGAAATTTATGTAATCAGATGCAACCAGAGCAGTCCATTAGAATCACTTTCCAAATTCCAGCAAACCAGGGAACATTAACACTGACTAAATAACCACAAACTCAATCCTCACAAAATCTAAACAGTTAAAATCCTTCAAAATGAGGATTCTGCTCAACCATGACTAAAAGGTATGTACAGTTCCTGCATGTAGGCTTCATAGAAGGTTATGTACACCAAAGACTAATTGGAAAACATAATAGATAGTAAAGGAAAGTAATATAAATAGTGATTCCATGGGCAAGAGTCATTTGAGCAAAAATTATGACAGACCGCCCTATGTTATTGATGTAGACTTTTATGTGCAAATGAGGTTAGGACCCTAATAAATAACCTATTATGGATCACATCTCAGTTCGTAATTGGCAGGTTTCTGACTAGAGCTTCCACTCTCATCCGAACGCTTGAGGCCAGAAGAAGGTTGCCAAGTTTCAGTTGATCCTCTTCCTCTATATGGATGTGCAGGTAGATGTAGATTGATCTTGTTGGGCTTATTTATCTTCAAACTCCCTTCCGGGTAAACTCCTATAGGAAAGAGTAAAACCAATACATGAGATTGTGGTGATTTACATAAAAAATTAAAAAAAAAGAGGTCATGTGCATAACTCACAGTATACATACTATTGATGGCAGAATCCTTTTGAGGAATCTCCGATGCTTTCTCCACACCTTCTGACGTATAAGGAGCTATGATGTGCGTTGCATGCTGGAGGGGACCCAATAAATCGTCTTCGATGCGTTCATACCTGAAAATGATCAATATCTACAATGAGCTTCACAAACTTTAGCAACTAGCAGGGGAAGCACATGCCATGTTGTGTATATTGAGTTTATTTGTTTTCCAATTGCCCCTATAAAGTGGAATTACTTCTTTTCTCTGAAACCTCATTCATTCCAGATTCCATAAAAGACCAAAAATCTTTATTGATATCATCAATTTGTGAGTCTGGAACTGATTCCATTTAAAATTCAATTAATCAAGATGGACAGTTCAAGGTTTTAGGAGAAGACTTACAATTTTTTACAGAGATCATCTATGAGTGTAGAAAGAGTAATTATCTTCAATCTTGTCTCCAAAACTTTGTCATCTGAATAATCACCAAATGGCTCATGCAAAAGCATAGAGAGTTTCTCGACATTTTCCTCAAGCAGCTGCTGCTGGTCCTCGAACAAGTTCTGTTTTATTTCCTTTTCCTTCTCTGTCATTTCATCCATAAACATGTCAACACCAAACATGTAATATGCAAATGGATAGGAATACGAGAGAATCTGCCGTGATCTAAGGAGTCTGTAGAGTCCATTTGTCACCCAACTGAAATCTTTGGATTTCCATTCCCTTGTTTCCAGGTTTGATATATTTGCCCGGATTTTTTCCTTCATGTTGACTTCAGCTTTGAAAGAATCTGTATGAGCTTTGTAACGATCATGATAGTGAACATAGCGCACAAGGTCCTTTCTTGCACGCTCATATTTTTTCACATCTTCTTCTTTGAATCGCCCACAAGTGTGACCCTCAATACTATCCAATGTGTGCCGAAAACCAGTAGCTTCACCACAGAGCCAACTAGAAAATGAGGAAAGAAATCATGAACATAAATAATGTGATCATATTGTTCATATTAAAGTCATTATTGCAAGAAATGAAATGAAGACTCATCAAACCATCACATATGAGCCCAGAAAGTTTTAGAAAGTAATCAACAAATTTAGACTGGATGCCAATACCATTGCTGCATGGGACAGGACCCGAGTGTCATAAACCAAAGAGAAAACATAGGGTTCAGTCTAATTCCCGGCTTATAAATACCCAATTAGATTCGCAAGGGAATTGTATTAAGCCAAAAATGAAGTAAAATCAAGCTTAAAGAGGATGGGAAGTGAAGTTGGAGAACAGAAACATCAAATGAAATTCTATTCGAATTTTCTGTTGAAACAAAACTTGTTTGGTTCTTCAGAAAATTAGTAGACACAATGGATCATCAAGATCAAAGATATGGCAGAAAACTACTGATAAAAGACATTAGAATAATAAATGTAGACGACATTTTTTTATAAAATATCACAATTAATCTTACAAATCAGTGATATATATTCAGCCCAAGTAGTGGAAAAAATAATGTTATTCAAAACCAAAAAGAAAATGTCTGACGCCGTGGAATACAAATGAGATGCCCCCCCCCTTCTCTCTCTCTCTCTCTCATATGCACCTGTTTGGTTGGAATAGATCCAAGACCAAAATTTTCCCAAAAAAATTGGCAATGCAGACAAAAAGCTTGGAGCTGTGTAGGCGACATAAGAACACCCAACAAACAGATGCATGCTCCTTCATTTGAAGTATTCATCTTCATGCACAATATAATATTGCAGGTGGTAAAGAATGATCAGACATCATTTGCAATAAATTGAAGCTTCTTATAGTAAACATTTCCGAGAAAACCAAAGTGGGTTTTGTAACTTGCATTCTTGATAGTCATGAATGAATATCAAATAATAACCAAGATAGGTAATTCAAATGCAAAAACCATTCAAAAGCAGAAAATGTGTGGGCCCACAATCAAAGCTCCACTTCACCATGCCTCATCACCCCTACCCCTCCCAATAGGTTAGGCTAGCCCCCAAACTTGCTTAACTACCACTTACAGGAATTTTACATCAAGTAAGTTCCACATTCCCACACCTCATCACCCAAAACCATATCCTCCCAACCAGGTACCCAAACACTCTGCATTGACACTTTGAGGCATGCTAAATGGGGTTGAATCAACATCTATCCATAGCCAAGAAAATATGTATTCATAAAGTTCGAAGATAACCTTAAGCATACAAGGACAAGATACCCTCGTTGCCTGTTGCTTTTATGGGTTGCCCACCATAAAATACTCTTTGCTAAAGTTTGTGCAACAAGAACCTTAAGAATGGTTCATTATTTAAGGGGAAAATATGATAGATAAAATATAATGTAAGATAAGCCAATGGAATTGATTTCCAAAGACATGAAAAATTACGGTTAATCTAATCTTTGACACTCGAAAAATGCTTATACCAGAAAAGAAGGAATGTCAATATGGACGATGTAAATGCATTTCTAAACACATCACAATGAAAAAGAACAATCACAAATCAAATGTTAAGTCAAAACTAGACAAAATTTAGAAATGCAACCAAATGGCTGCCAGGGAAAGCACACAAAATGAGAAGTATGAAGCAAACTAACCTTCC